GTGTGTGAGTGCATGTACGTGTTTAGGTATCTGTAGGTGTATAATTGTGTGGAATGTGTGAATGTGTACATGTGTGCCACCCATCCGATAGACGTACAATATCCAAAATTATACATTGTCATACCATGTTAGATAGTTTCATTTCAATTGCTTGTCTCATATATAAGAAGTTACTAAAATAACAGTAGTATTACAAGTTTATATAAACATATATGTAAATTAAATTTCGATTTGTGTATATTTATATTATTTATTTACATTATATATATTATATATATACTGATATAGTATACATTTTATGTTTACTGGTTAATTTATTTTTTATTTTTTATTAGAGGTTTGTTTGTATAGGTTTATGTTTGTACTTCTGTAGGCAATATATATATAATAGTTACTTAATATATTTTTTAACTATTATACACATTCCTAGGCGTTGTATATACATATAGAATACCCAGGTATTGTGTCGAATGGCTGTAGAATTGGCAAGGTATTAAATAAAATACAAAAAATGTAATTAGTCATTTCTCTTTGTATTTCCCAGCTTTGCGATTCTTCTAATTACCTACTTATTCTCACATGATGAACTACTGGTGAGACTTGGACATGTAAAAAGGAGGAGGGGGAGAAGTAGAAGAACAATGCTCTAAAAATCTAATAAACCCGACTACTAACAAATGTCGTATCGCAAAATTTGATCTCCTGTCATATTATAAACCCACATCGTAACGTCCCACTGTTGGGCATGGGTCTTGTGTATGACTCCGAGTTCTACGACTTTACAGGATTTTTTAGAATGCTTTCTTTGACCGTTGCAAGCAAGTGATAACTATAGTTGTGTCTGACAACTGTGTCTATAGTGATGCATTGGACTTCAATCGAACCTTCTACGTATAAGTTTCAAATTCATTAATGGCTTTAAATGTAGTAGTTACAATACTTAATAGTTATGTTTATTGACGCTGTTTCATATGTATAAAGAAAGACTACATACTACTACAACTTACACTACTACGACTACAAGTGTACGCTAATAGGACAAATAAACGGCATTAATTACTAAAGCTAGTTGTTAATTTATTTTAATGTTATTATGACTCAGAAACCGACTTCAAAAAAGGAGGAGGTTCTCAATTTGATTGTATGTTTTTTTTGTATGTATGTTACGCGATAACTCCGGTATTTGTGAACCGATTTTCATGATTTCTTTTTTGTTGGAAAGGGGGTACTTCCATAGTGGTCCCATTTAATTTTGAAGAAAATCATTCATCTTTAAGGGTGGCTGATCACGCATGAAGATTCATTATTATAAATAGTGCCTAACTTTAATTTAGGAGTAATTATTTTAATGGTTGATTTTGCTATTTCTCCAATTCAAGGCGTTTTCTCTCAATATATGTATTTTGAATAGTGAGAACCGATTATTATTATCTCCAGTGTCAAGTTCTGTATAGTGGCGAACTAGGGGATATTTCAATAAAACTTAGCAAATAGACGTAATTCCACGTACTTTTGAGGTCGGTTTTTTTAGTACTCTATACTGAGATTATGTTACTTTATATTGTTTAAGAGCACGCTGCATACTATAATAATTTTATTCTAAATTCGGTATTGTTGATTTAAATGTTTAGGTTACAGTTCAAATATTTGTTATTCTTTTAAGTTTCTGTCAAATAATGCCTATTAGCCATGTAACTCTTCTTCTCAGGCTCCAGCTGAAAGTCAGCGTTGTGGCTCAGCTCACCATTAAGCCGAGCAGACTAAATAGATAGTAATAGCCTTTTCGGCTAATGTTATGTATTCAGTAATATATATTTTTTTAACTATTTATTCTTTAATTTAAATTTATATTAATATTTTTTTTGTGTATTTATGTGTATATAATAATTATAGCCGAATGAATGTTTCTTTCTTTCTTTCTTTATATGCATCAGCCTGTGTAATGCCCGGTAATCATGTCAAAATTATGAAAGGGTATTCATCTGTTTTATTTTTCTGTAAAAATGCATGTTGGTAAAACTATTTTGTAAATCGTAAGTAGCTTGGAAAATGTTTTTTGGTAAATAAAAAAATGTAATCATAGTTCTGAAAACGGTGGTTTGCATTAATATTAAACATAACCGGTTGATGACTAATACCTTCTCAGTTAGCCGTCCCCAAAAGACGTATAAAGATCCCAAATTAAAAAAAAAACAACTTTACTCGATTTCAAATCCGGATTCATTCTCAAGTTCGCCACCCTTAGAGGAGAAATATTTTCTTCAAATTTAAATGGGACCACTACATAAATTGGTACCCTCTTTCTAACAAAAAAAGAATCATCAAAATTGGTTCACAAATCACAAAGGCCGGAGTTATGTACAAAAAACCAATACCTACATCTGGAACTGATTTGTTCGAGTAGACATGACTAGATATACATAAATATATGGCACAGGTTCGATTGAATCATAACCCCAGACTTTCATTAATGGAAATTATATGCCCCCATTGTGTTCGCACTTACCACATGTGGCCATGTGGGGTGATTTTGGGCATAACGACTGCACGAGTGCATTTGTCTCAACCCTTGATTATATTTTCGAGTTCATTTGTTTGGTAGTATGTCTATGAATTTCAAACTCAAATTTTGAATAAAAATTATTTTAGGGACCGTAAATTTTGAATCTTTTGTCTTAAACTCTACCCTGTAGCTGTGAAAAAAAAGCGAAAAGGCTGCGTCATATAAAGCTATATAACGTTATGTGTTATAAAGCATGTAGCCTAACCTTGGCGAAAATAAAGAGAAGGCTCGATCCACATAAATTTATTATGAGTAAGAGGGAAAGAACAGGCTGCAACAAAAATAAAGAATATAAAAACAGGTACAACAGTATAAAACACTCCCTTACAGTCCAGACACTTACTACACTACCTATTTCTGCCGCCAAGCAGTGCGTTCCGGTTTTGAAGGGTAAGGGTGCTGGTGAAATTACAGGTACAGTGCAGTGCAGTGCCATTCAGAGCTTTGCGATTTAAAGCTCTGAGTAGCACTGCAACTGTTATGGACAGGCGTGTAGCTTATCATCAGGCGCACGACTTGATTGTCCCGTCACTTGATATTATAAAAAAAACTCTTGTATACACAAAACAGTTAAATTACGTGAGGTTTTACAAAATAAATCGATACACATGTCCTTTCGTCTCGAGAATTATGATGGGTGTGGAGACGGAACGAACCAAAACGTAATAATAATGAAGAAAAGAAATTCGAGAATGATTCGAAATTTCAAAGCTAAAGTGGCCAAGAACCAGTAAAGAGAGTGAAAAAATTGGGATGACTATGAAGAAGGTCGCATCGTCAGAAACATAATGTGAATATGACTAAATGAAATCAAGAGAGATTAAAATATGTTGTAAAATAATCACACTTTAAGGGTCGTATTCTAGAAATCTACTCAATGCTCAAGTCAGGATCTGAGTATGATTTCAAGCACTGGATACGACCCTAATGGCAGGGACTTGAGTATGATTTCGAGTGCTTTAAACCATACTCAAATCTTGACTTGAGTATTTAGTAGAGTTCTAGAATACGACCCTCAGACTTTCGTGGTTATTTATTAAATCGTAACCTTGGCTTAATAATGCCAAGTGTGAAACCAATGATCGGGAAAAGGTGTTCCACATACGTAGTTACATGTATAAACATAGCTACAAAGAGCGATCCACCAAATTTTAGTTCACTAATTTTTTCGAATTCCAGATTTCCGGAAATGGTTTTACTGCATCGTAGGACAAAACTACTACTAGTAGTAGAAAATTAGATGTGATGTCAGTAAATTTCGGTGGTTTTTAACAACTCTATATCACTTCTTGTAGCTACATGTATTTATATATTTGGAACACCTTTTTCTGACCTATGGTGATCATACAACGGTAGTGCTTTTATGTGAAAATCAAAAAATAATAGGAACAACATGAAACAAACTATATGTATGTGATGTTTTATACATAACTCTTCTATTTAGGCATAAAAAGTTCTCTCCTGAGAAGTTGCCATTTTGCAGATATAACCTTATGACACTAAGTTTCGAAATTAATATGACCTAGGCATTGACTTACAATTATATGGACGTCGGGTCCGCGCTAAAAAGTGTCCGAATTTATAGGGCGTTAAAATCGTATACAGAGCGTCATTCACGCTTTAGTCTTCGTTTGTTCGACTGACAGCGAAGCAAGCAAAATTAGACAGTACTGCGATGACATTACAATTTAAATTCAACGTTTTAGCTTTTTCATATCCCTTTACATGTCACTACGTTTAAATAGGTTGACTTGGGACATTTTGTTCGTGGTTTTTGTATTAGACCCGTCGTCCATTTATTTGTAAGTCAATGGACCTAGGTAATAATTTTAACTGACGTTCCCAAACATCATTTTGAATTTAAAGTGTAAGTTGAAAGGTTTTAACCCTTAAAACGATAGTAGTATGGACTTTCGATATGAACATTCAAGATATTACTAAAATAAATTAGATTTTCTTTAAATTCTGTATCATGGAAGGCTTTAAATTTATCGTGTCAGCTTATACCTAAGACACACAGTAGAGCCGGCTTATCCTCTTGGCGTACGTGACCGTAATAATTTAAGTAAAAAAAAGGCACGTATTGCTTTTCAAGAATTGTGGCCCAGATGGAAATATATCTAATTTTACTTATAACACAGCTGTATTCAGAATGTGCTAAATTTATTGTAAACAAGACACCAGGCGTCGGTATAACTTGATTCCTACCGGCTCGCCTAAAATTTGTCACTTGCCACTTAAAAAAATTATTCACATACGGAGTAGTGAAGCTTCCTAATGGATAGGCTAGATCTCGGCTACTATTTCATTCATGAAACTACTGAAGAAAAAACAATGGAAGTGCTCGAAGCCTCAACATCAACAACTACAGAACCACTGTCATTGGTGACAACTGGTCTCACACCTTGATAGTTT